CCTAGAACTGCCTCACACTGCTCTTCTCAGAGCAATATATTAAGCGCAGTGACAAATGCCACCCATTACTATTCTGTCATTGAACAAGCTCCCAGGTGAACAGTCTATAGAATGAAAGTCACCACCAAGGATAACACTCCTCAACGGCACAACAAATCAAGCCAGACACAAAAAAAGTAATTTTGAGAACTGAAAAGGAAAGAATCCTATACATCAGTCTTTTTACTGATAAGCAGGGACTACCAGTATGCCAACTCTCAATAAAAGAAGTTGAGATATGAGATGATTTTCATCCTAGTACAAGTATCAGTTCCAAGACACTTGCTCAATGAAAGCTTAAAAAGACAGTCAACAAATTCTGCTCTCCATGGCTCCAGCAACCTGTGCTTATCACCTATGTATGTTTCTAATCAACAGCAACGTACTGTAATATTCCAAAGTTATTAACAGCCTGCTGCTGCTTTAGGTAGCTGCAAGGAAAAAGTCAAACTAAAGGCAAAACTTCTTGCAACAAGGTGATTTCAAAAAATGAAACAACCAATGTTAAGAAAGTCCGCCACACTTATACCAAAGAGTATATAGCCAGAATTTAACCACAATGCAAAAGGTTTTCTGTCCTGTAATAAGCTAAACTATACATTCAAATTTCATAACCTGCTGATATATTACGTAAAAATTAAGACTGTGCACCACGCAACACTATTGCTAATATGTACCTGCATTGCAATGGCAGCTGCAGATTAACCTGCCCAGAAACTTTACAACATATAGAGAATAACACATCATCACACACACAACTTCTATGTGGAAAATGCACAAGCTTTCTAGTAGGAAGGGAAAAGGACTTGATAGTTAATGTCAGCAGCAGTCTGGAAAGCCTTGCCTTGTCAGTCATTCCTAAAGCAAGGAAGATGACATAGCACTCTCCTTTTCCAGCCTAATGAATCAACTAATAAATCACTTTGCAAAGCTAGCCACAAATCATATTTAAGTCCTTCAAGACTGTCTTATAAACAAAAAAAATCAAGTTAACAGCCCTCACTCCTGATTAGGGGCTGTAGGAAAAAGCAACCCACCAAGAACACCAGAGCATCGTAATCTGAACCGTTTTTGAATTATGACATTATAATCTCACTCAATTAAGAGGGAAATGCCTAAAATTACAGGAAAAGCTTCCTTTAACACCTACAACTCTCTAAATCAAAATCAAGCCAACAATCCCTCAGGAACAGATCATTCCAAAACTGACTTAAGGCTGAAGCAGAGGCTTTATTCAGGAGAGACCTCCAAGGCAGGGGATCCAAGCAGACAGTCCAGGTCACTGAAGGGGGTAGAGCCCCTCCAACCCTTTCCTTGCTGTCACTGTACTCCAAGTGCAGTGTACTAATCAACCCCAAGATGACACCATTCAACTCACCAAATCAAGAGGAAATCTGCCCAGAAAAACTGCAAGTACTTTTTGCTGCTGGTTTAGCAAGCTGAACTAGCTCAACCAGAGGCTGAGCACTGCCAAAGACAAGGAGATAGGAACACACTGCCAAGAGGATCCAGTCCATCATTTACAGCTGTCACTACATTGGTTGAGTTCATGAAAATTTACCCCTTCTGGTTAATAAGAGATCACTGCACACATCTAACCTTAAAGCCAAAGTAAAGGAGGACTGAAAGGGAAAGTCCAATGACGCCCAGTGCAGTCAAGAACAATTACATACTTATCTAAGCAAACCAACCACATCTCATTCCGCCACAGTTTAACTTCTTACTAAACTACAGGTCCATGTCTTTTTTTTTCAGTGGATCCAAATAAAAACACAGGAGTTTTCTGGAGGTCTGCATTCCTTTATAAAGACAAAGAGAGCTGCAACATTTCATCATTAAAAAAATAGGTTTTTTTAATAATGTTTTTTGGTTTTTTATAAAATAATAAAACTCAGCTTCCTTCTTAAAGAGGTGAAGAATGAAGTTGGGAGAAAGTACCTTTCTGCTTTGAAAAGTCTCTAGAGACAGCTTCAAATGCTGTCCAAAATTCTTGTCTCTCTACCAAACCCTTAGGATTGGAGTACAAAAAGACAACCTCCACACCACTATCCTGGATGCCAGACCTAACTTCTCCAAGTGCCTTGGAAGGATCAAGGTTACCTGGAAACATTTTTCTTTATGTAAGTTAAATCTCCTAAGACAACACACACATCAGCAGTTCACTTAAAAAGGTGACTTACAAACCAGATATAGCAGACACAAAGCATTTAGGATTTAAGGGAAACTAAAAGAAGAAAGATTAGCATTATTGATGTCAAGAAATATCCTTCCAAGTGGTATCTTTGACTCAATATTAGGTTATTTATTCTTAAGTGTCATTCATGGCTTAAGTGTTACTCTTTCTTAATGTGTACTGATCTGCAATGGATTACTGATGCAAGAATTATCTCAGTACCCAACAGACATGGTCACTTAAAATACAGTCCTGGTGGTTCTTTCACTCATTTTAGGAAAAATATAGCATTTTACCATCAAGAAAAGAAGACTTAAAAAAATCTTTAAAAAACAAGGAAAAAAAGAAAAGAAAAAAGAAAAAGACAAAATCACAGTGAGCTGATATACTCACACAGCACAGCTTCATTAAATTCAACTCAATACTCCAGTATGACTTAGCCAGAATGAAAATCACGATCTTAAAGTAATCAGGGAAAAATTTTAAGGGATACATAAATAATTATGAACTAACAGCTAAAAGTGAGGTTATCAGCACCTGTATTAAGGAGCACAAATAGGTTGGTCTCAAACCGAACAAATCCCTCTCCCCCATCCTGCTCCCAGGAACAGGAAGGAACACAGAATGTGATAGTCTGCCCAGTTTAAGGCAGAATTACATCCTGTCCATTTAGGTAACAATAGCTCTCTCCCCTTTATGATAGCTACAAGATAAAACTTTTGATTCTGAAAAGTTCACATGATAGTTGACAGGCTGTCAGCCTGTTCCTGTTTCACTTTTGTACACAGACAAAACAGTCACTTCCAACTGAAGTTCCAAATAAATTCCAAAGCAGCAAGTATTGCAGATTTAAGTCAGACCATCTTCCCATTTCGTTTGAAGCATTTTCCTTAAAGTGAGTCAATCTATTTCAGCTCTTTCTTTAAGTTCACTTTACTAAAGTATTATAAATACAGTATTATTTTACATAATTCATACTGTAAAAGGTCATTGAGACTAATTCTGTCCTAACAATGTGTATGTTTTACTCTATTCAGAGAAAAAAGTATTTCACACTGTCACAGGTGTAAATGCCTCAGAGCTCATGAGTTTACAAACTCAAATTTCTCAGTTACTTTCTATCATACCAGTAGCTTTTAGCATCTAAAAAGATATCCAAATAGCCAGCTCAAGAAGACTTTTGTAATTTGATATAATTCTTCCATTCCTTATTGTCAACGAAGCTCCAGCCTTTAGATTTTTATTTTTCAGAAGTGTGGCAAGAGATGACTAAGAGAACTTGCAAGAGTCACATGTACCATTACTAAACTACATAAAGGCCTGCTCTGTGAGCTAAGGAGACAGAGAGCTAAGGGAGTAGCTAGTCTGCAGCTACTTTGCATGGAAAAAACAAACACAGCAAGAACCAAACACAGCAACAATTTAGGATATAGATTTTCAGAGATACTGCTCCTCAGGATACCTTGTCAAGACAGCAACTGGGTGTAAGTAGGGAATACTGTGTGATACTAAATACTCCTTGTATGCTTAAAGAAGCCATTGTCCAAGCACTATCTGAAACATACCTAGATTATTAAAATTCATTAAAGAGTGAAACTAAATACACACAGGCACACTTTCACATATAATTATACAAGACATATCAGATCTGTTAGGTCACAGTCAACAAACAACCATGTAGACTTTAAACTCCTGCTGGTGCCGACATTTTATAGAAAGTAGGAGTGCTGGGGACATCACCCTGGGACACAGCAGATTCAGGCATAATCCCCTGCTCATCCACAAGCTTCCTGCACAGCCTCGTGTGAGTCTCCAGCTCCCTGTGCCCTCATCCCATGCTGAATGGTGAGCTAAAAGCAGGAAGATTTCACGGTACTCACATGACGGCAGCTGAGACCCAAGCATGTAAAATAATGAATGCCCACTATTTGAAACAAAACAGAAAGCTGACATTCATCATATCTGTGTTTACATCTATCAGGAGTGACATGTGTTCACCTAGCACGGCAAATTCAGAATTGTTCTCTGAATCCCATAAAATCAAGGGTTTGTTCATAAATATGATGACCCGAGAGATCAAAAGCATGCACTGTCCCGCATCCAATAATGACAAGCAAGGAGTCTCTCTCTCAAGCACATCAATCTTTCTTTCCTGCAAAAGCAACTTTCTCTCTGTCAGTTATCTGATATTTAAGACTCATTTCACTGCACCGCTCCCATTCAGAAACAATCCTAAAACCAACCCACACTTGTAAGTCATAACAAAGGCCTAAAACTGCACTGAACGCTTTAGCCATGCAACCAAAGCTAGGAAGATCCTGGAAGCAGGGATTTGACACCACCATAATCACAACAGGCATTAGTGTGTCCAGCAAATTCTGACCTGAAGCAGCAGGTGACGGAGGCCCAGGGAGGGAAAGCCAACCCTCATTCCCGCACAAGGAGGGCCCAAGCGATCGCATCCCTGCACAGGGCCCACACACACAACTCCCGTCGGTGACACCGTAACTGGAGCGGCCCCGAGCACCGACCCGGCGCCGATGCCCTCACACCGCCCTCGCCCCAGGCCTGCTCTCCCCCTCCCCAGCCGCTACGTGGTTAACCGGGAGATCGGCTGGAGCCGAGGAGCCGCCGGCCCCACGGCCGCGGGGAGGGGGCAGCGAGGGAGGGGCGGCCCGGCCTCGGCCCCCCGCCCCCGGCGCGGCCCCGGGGCTCCCGCACCCCGGCGGGCGGGCGGCGCCGAGCCCCCGCCACTCCCCGCCCCATCCCGGCGGGGGAGCCCCGGTACCTTGCGGACCCCCTTGTAGATATAGAAGTAGAGCTCCCGGCCCACATTGAAGCAGAGCCGGTCCCCGTTGCCGCTCTGGTCGTTGACGTTGACGAAGGAGACGCGGACGGGGTTGGAGCCCTGCGAGTTGAAGGGCACGCGGTTAGGCCGGCTGTACTCCGAGTGGCTCAGCAGCTTGTACAGCCCCTCCCGGGTGGTGAACTGGGTCTTAATCTCGTTCATCTCCTTCCCACCTCCCTCCGCCGCCATCTTGGAAAGGAGCGCTCATCCTGCCCCAGTGCCCGGATGTGCCGACACTGCGCAGCCGCCGGCGCGCGCGCGGCCCCTGCGCGCGGGGGCGACACGAGGAGGCGGGGCCGGCGGGGCCTGTTTACCGCGCGACTGCGCGCGCGCCGGGCTCGCGCG